ATGAACGGGGGAGGGGCAGAGAGAGAGGGAGGCACAGAATCGGAAACAGGCTCCAGGCTCTGAGCCATCAGCCCAGAGCCCGACGTGGGGCTCGAACTCATGGACCGCGAGATCGTGACTTGGCTGAAGTCGGACGCTTAACTGACTGCGCCACCCAGGCGCCCCTTATCTTTACTTTTTTATAAAAAAAAGAAAAAAATCTTAAATGTACAGCAGAAGTTCTGAAGACACTAACATTGTGTAGTTTATAGTTTTGAGATCAAAAAGTGGACTAGTTTGTTGGTGTGGTATTAAGTTTTACATGTATCTATAAGGAAAGGCACATTTATGTTGTGCCAACAGCAATCACATCTTAAGTCCCCAATTAAAATGTGACTTTTTAAACTCCAAAAGTTCCACGCGACAGTTTAGCCATCTGTTTAATGAAACAACCACTGATTAGGTCATAGATAATTATTGCAATAAGGACAGTGCTAGGGAAAGTTCAACTCATGACAGTTAATTACGAAGAGATAATTAGCGAGGGTAGTTAGCATGATCTCCTCTCTAGGGTAAGAAATAGGTAACAAATCTCATTCCAGGTGTAGATCATGTAGACCGTATAGTTACATATATTTTTGAATCATCATTTAAAAATCTTATTAGATACCAAACAGTATATTTACTGAGCTATGTTTAACCAAAAGGAGAAGTGTTGTTTTTCATAAATTATCTATTGAATTCTATGCATTTTTTTTTGTCAAAAATATCCTTAGGTTATCACATGGAGGCTTTTGTGTTTCATGGGCACTCTTACCAATGTAAGAGGGAAATTACAGCACTTGTCCCTGGTGGAATCCATGACTACGGTCCTTAACACATTCTGCTAATTACCTTCCAGGAAGACACAAATGCGGGAGTATTAGAGTAAGCTCTCTACCATCAAATGTGGTGAAGGAGAGTTCTGGTGAAGATAGTTCTCAAAACTCACAGTAAATAATAGTTTTAAATTCCTCTATGATAAAATCACTTTGATAAGGAGCAAAAATGATTAATTTCCTTCTTACTATCTTGGTATAAGTACTTCAGAGTTGCGAAGTACTTATGAAAGTACAAATTATGAAAGAACAAATTATGGAGGGACAATAAGCAAAAGACTTGCAATTTTAGTATCTTCTATCCAAGCGCAGCATAATGGAGCTCCAAGGGTGGTGAAAGCATTGGCATTCATTATTGGCTCATCAGTATTAGAACCAAGGGAATTTTTAACAGATTGCCTCACAGGAAAGAAAGAACCCTGCCTGGCTCCCTATTCTCATTTTGGGCACAAAACTAAGGTTTTCTTATGTTTCGTATACAGTGATGTCTTGGCACTTCTGGTTTCTCCAACATGAAAATCGTGTGACTTTATATTGCGTCCGTGTAGAATATGTGACAGAACTGAGATAAGTTAAACTTATTTTTGTGCTATTAGTGAATAAAGGTTTTTAAAGAATTAATAGGAAAATATGTTAGGAGAATTTCAGTCTCTTTAAGAGAAGAATTTTAGTGAGATGCTAATACACTCTTTGCTTAAATGCAAAATAGAGTTAGCTGTAAATGGATTTCTCTGTAGGAGTGTGTAGTATTTAAGATCTCTAACTTTGTTTAAGCTACTGAGACCTTCGGTGTACTTTGGCAATAATTCTTTACTAGGAATTAACTATTACTCCCAACTTATCATCAGACTTAGATATGAATTCAGGTATTTCCACACGCGTAGCTGTGTGATCTCAGGCAAGTCATATGATTTCTCAGAACTTCAATTTATCTTTCCTCAATAGGAGTATTATAAATATTTTTCTCACGAGTTGCTTGGAAAATTAAATTAGATAATGAATCTCAGCTTCTTATATTATGTCTGCCCATCCCAACCACTCAGTATGAGTTAGGTGTTATATTTATCTTAAAATTAGGGTGGTAGTGGTTTCTACTTAGGGGTATATATTTTATTATTCACTTAAGAGATAGGAAATTCTTTGAAAAATACATGTATATTAAACTGTAATATAGATTTTATTCATTCTGCCTTTCTTTCCAATGAGCATGACTATAATACACACATATAAGGGTTGTCTTTGGTGTGCTTATTGAACGCAACAGAGTGTGTGTAAGGATTTTTTTCTACAGTATTTTCCATTAATGATAAATTACATAAAAGTACTAAGTATACAACAGAATTTAGACAATGGAAGGGTTGAGAATTAGGAGACAGGAACCTTGGTTTCTATATCTAGTCAACTTGTCCTTTAGCAAATCACTTATCTGGGTTTCAGTTTCTTCAGACTTCAGAGAAGAAACTTGTACTGAATGATTTCTATGGCTATTTACAGTTACCAAGCTATAATTCTACAATAAGCTCAGAACAACTGTATTTTCAAAATTATATCCTTTACCTACTGGCAATGTTTATCATACATCTTTGCTTCTACTTATTTTTTGCACTTAATAGGAAAGAGTACATGATTGCTTTATCTTGAAGTTGATTTTTTTTTCCAAAATCTTGAAATATTAGGCTATCCAGTGACCTTAAAAATGATCTAGCCTCTCACTCGGCCAGGACATTATTCTAGTTTCTAAGAAGACCAATTTCCTTTATCTGGAAAAGACCCAACTTTCTCTGTTATGTTCTCTGAAAAGGAAATTATATAGATTATCATGCCTAATAACTTTTACTGTTCTAGTGAAGGTTATTTCCCATTTTATTTTAAAAATTAAAAAGAATTTGAAAAGAAAAGCTAATTTTAATTACAGGGAGATTTTACCTTTTGTTTTATCTGTTCAACAAACCTTTATGTGTTTAAGAAGGTGTGTGTTTATTGCTATAATCGAATCAGCTGAATAAAGTTCCACAGCTTTATATATTCCTAATTTTGAATGGAGATACCTGATAGAAATAAAGATAATGAAGAGCAGAAATACATCTCTCTGAATTTCATGTGTCTGTCAATAATTACATCAAGAAAAGAGAGGCTGCTGATGTTTTATTTAGATTGTGTTAATTCAGTCCCTAGAACCAGATGAAAGGTCTAATAATGTAGTTTATAATGATGTGAACTGTCACTTCTATTTGAATAATGTTAGCTACAATCAAATAATTTTTCCTTTTCCATAATGGAATGTTCCTATTCTCATTGTTTTCTGTAATATCTTTGCCTCCAAATAATTCAATTGAGGGAAAACAACATCGTGTACCTAATTCCTGTGTGGTTTAGATTATAGTTTTGAGCCAAGCTGTGGCCAGAGTTGTGTCCTTTCATGAGACACTGATTTTGTGGCTCAATATGTTTTTAGTTCTGAGCTAGATTATCTTATCCATACTCAGGGAAGTACGAATGAAATAAAGAAGCAATATGACTTTTTAAATTATATTTACATCTTTATGACTATTATTTTTTTTAATTTATCTGATTTGGCCCTCCTCTCTGTTCCCTACACAAATTCTGGCTTTCTGATTTCCTTCTCAAAATGCATCTGCTGCTTTTAACTGCCACCTCAGGGGCCTCTCTCTTTTCTTTCTTTTGCAAAAAAAAATAGCATTTCCAGATATCCTAACGCTTTATTATCAAAGTTGTCCAGGTGTCATTTCAGGCATCTCACAGGGTTCACAGTGGAGACAGTACCCTGTACCTTTCTTACCTTTTGTCTATAGAGGTGACTTTGCAGGTGGAAGCATGAGGAGGGTGGCTGAGGCAGCTACAGAAACTGTTTCCTAGGTCACGCAAGGTCAGAGCCTGGTCTCTTCGTACACTATACAAATTCCACTGACGAATATCTGTGAAAACATTGATGGTCTGAATTTAGCTGTTCCATACATAATATTGAGATATAAACCCTATGGGTCAATTTGCTAAAGCACATTTTACATGCTAGACTTAGCAAAATGAATCAAGTGCCATAAAGGCATGCTCATATTCACTTAAAAAAAATTAAAAGGTATCTATTAGGTCAGAGGCTTCTAATAAATGGCATCCATACATATTTGAGATTGAGGCTTTGGAAGCTCTAAGGTGGCATGTCATTATATAGGCTAACTTCCCAAAGGGCATTTTTATTTTGTAATTGCATCTTTGGCTAACTTATCTGGCTAAATTGTCATGTTATTTCTTATCTGTCATTTGCTTATCTTCATTAAAAAACTGTTCAATATCATTAAGCACTTCATCTTTCAGTTAGATGATTTTGCACGTAATTAGGGGAAAAGAAAATGGAAAAAAATTTCTGATTATCACAAACGATATGGAGAGTTGCAAACAATTTGAAGTTAATTACGAGCTTAGTTGGGGGTTAATTAATTTCTGCGTGGACTATACAGAAGATGGATTTCCAACATGTATCTATTAAGTTAATAATATCGACTCCTATTTTATAAATAAAACATGTAGGTACACATACAGCTCAGATGAAAATATCAAACTTTTATTATATCAAAATTGTTCTAGGACTGACTTTTTGGTTTGTATTTAAGCTTTCTTAGAGGATTTTAGTCACAGCAAATGTGTCACAACTTCAACTGTAAATACTCATATTTCATATTAAGATTGTTTGACATGGTCTGAGTGTCTGTCCATTTTTCCAGCTATGTTTCAGCCTTGTCACTTGCTTTTGTTTTGTTGTGCATTGTCATGTGTTTTGAAAGAATTGAGGCACTTCTTTTATTTGCAAAACCCAGTCAGCATTTTGTCACCGCCTGTTCAAGTTCCAGCGTAATGGCCCAGACGAAATACTTGGGAATGTGGAGGTCTGGGAATGACTGATGGATCTGTGTAGCAACTATAGCTTTAACCTCTAACTAGCTTTCATTTTTCATCTTTGCAATTTCCATTTCCTATTTTTATCAAAATTAATTTAGTCGAAATAAATGGATACTCCTGCACATCCTTTGAGCTCTTCTGAGAATTGCACGGGTCTGTTAATAATTTTTCATGTCTCTCTCTCTCTTTTTTTTCTTTATTTTTTTATTTTTATTTTTTTTTTTTTAGTCTCGACCTATTCCTTCCCACCTGACTTCAGCAGTTGCAGAGAGTATCTTGGCTTCAGCCTGTGAGAGTGAGAGCAGAAATGCCGCCAAGAGGATGCGCCTGGACAGACAACAGGTACCGAGGAGCCTCGGGGTCGGTGGACACCAGCTATTGCAAATATGGTTCAGTTAGTCTGATTCAGGTAGAAGGGCGAAAGCTCTGGGATGGATTTTGAAGTACACTGAGGTAGAGTTTTGGGGTCTTTATGATATGAATTGAAAGTTGAAAGTGCAGGATCATGAGAGCAGCGGGCATCCATTACATTTTCCGTGGTGAAAAAATGGACAGTCGTGGGGCACCTGGGTGGCTCAGTCAGTTAAGTGTCTGACGTCAGCTCAAGTCGTGATCGCACGGTGTAGTTCGTGGGTTCAAGCCCTGCATCAGGTTCTGTGCTGACAGCTTAGAGCCTAGAGCCTGCTTTGGATTCTGTGTCTCCCTCTTTCTCTGCGCCTCCCCTACTCACACTCTGTCTCTCTTTCTCTCAAAAATAAACAATAAAAAATTTTTAAAAATGGACAGCTGTAAAATCAGGAATTCTGGCTAGTATCCAATTTGCAGGCTAATTACTTATTTAAATAAGTGGTTCTAACTGATCATTTATGTTCGTTTTGTACATTTACCTGATTGTTTATAATAGTGACACGATTGTGTTCATTTCAAGTGAAAGTGAACCTCTCCTTAATTTCCCCTGCTCTGCTGCTAAACGTCAGTGAATTGCTCTGGGAATCTTGAAAGCACATACTTTGAAAGACTGGAAAGCTGTAAAATGGGGACAGAAAATAATGAAAATATATGTCCTGGGCTTGCTTCCGCATTAATGAATCATTTACTGTATACCCATCAAGTATCCTTCTATCTGTGTCTCCTTCCTAGGGATGTAGCTGTATGTGGTGTGGGCATGTGCATTTTGCGGGCGTTGTGCGCTTATGTCTTGCTCAGTTTTCCCTTGGTTTATGTGCCTCTGTCGGTCTCCCCTCCTCAGGTCTGAATGCCTTTCTCTGTGTTCTTTTTATCTCTGGCCCTCTTAATTGTCCATAATCAAATGCTAAAGTATAGCACACAGTATTAAATACTACACATAAAAGTATGCTGTGTTCTGACTTTTAAGTTATTTTTACAACAAATGATCTTGTGCTTCATATCTTTAGTTGAGTTTGGGATGAGAAGACTAAATTTTCAGTCTAATTTTGTTTTTTCCTACAGGCCAATGAGCGTCTTAAAATTATATATATGTATATATATGTATGTATATATGTGCATACATATATATACATGTATATATATACATATACATACATATGCATATATATGCATACTATACATATATACATGTATATATATGCATACTATACATATATATACATGTATATATATGCATACATACATATATATACGTGCATATACATATATACATATACATTATATACATATACATTGTACATATACATTATATATGTATATGTATGTATATATATGTATGTACGTATATACATATATGTATGTATATGTACATATATATAAAACAAGTATCTCCAGTCCAGGACCAAAATATTTCAAAATGTTTCAGAATGGCAGTATTTTAAAATTGTATGTGTTTATTATTAATATGGCATGTGCTAATAATTCTAAACAATGCAAAATATGAAATCCCTGGTTAATATTTTTTTTTATTTAAAAAAAGTTTTTTAAGTTTATTTATTTTGACGGAGACAGAGACAGTGCAAGTGGGGGAGGGGCAGAGAGAGAGAGAGAGAGAGAGAGAGAGAGAGAGAGAGAGAATCTTAAGCAGGCTCCACACTGTCAGTGCACTCACTGTCCACGTGAGGCTTAACCCCATGAACTGTGAGATCATGATTTGAGCCAAAACCAAGAGTCAGACACTTAACCGACTGAGCCATCCAGGCACCCCTAGTTAATATTTTTTTAAATGTAGTATTAGCCTCAGATAAAATGTATATGAAAATACTGATTTTGAGTTTGTTAATCATCCTTGGCCAGTCATGTTTATGCACATATGCATTCCTCCGTGACACTTTTATCATTATTATAAGCCTAGAATCTTTCTTACTTGGAACAAGTCAGAGCCCTGTATACAATACCATATAACACAGTCATTAAGATGGCACATTCTGGAGTTAAGTACATCTGGTTTGGTTTCTCAGCCCTGCTCTTACTAATAGCCCTGCAGAAAGCTACTCCAGTCTCTGTGCCTCAGTTTCTTCATGGGCACGATAACAATAACAGTTCTAATCCTAAAGGGTTGTTGTGAGCATGCTAAATGACACATTTATGTTAAGTACTTAGCCTGGCATATAGTAAGCATCAACAAATTCAGCCTAGGAAAAGATTGTAACTGATGTTCTGTCATTGCCTTGGCATCAATAAATCTAGAAAGAAACATTAATAGTAGTATCTCAGATACAGGAATTTTGAAGTCAGACGAAGTCTATTTGAGAAAATATCACAATTCTAGAAACCAACATAATAGAATTCTGGGATTGAATGCGCTTTTCTGTGTTGTCTTGACATATATCCCACCTCATCTACACTCTAGAATGGTGTCAGTCATATATACAGTTGTCATGCAAATTAAATGACTGATTGGTGCTATGAACTACCTGTGATACTTCTATGTATCCACCAATATTGGGTCCAGTAACTTAACCACTGTTGGCCTAATCTATCAAATCGAGGTTACATATATCAAATTCATAGGTTTATTTTGAGGATTCAATAAGGCAAGGCATATGAAAGCATAGCTCATTTAATAAGTTTACATATATTTTCAGAGCTATACTGTATTCAAACTCCTATGTATGTGCTTCCATACATACCTAAGTGGTAGGAAAATGTTACCTCCAGTCCTAAGATCGGCTATTTACTAATACACGTGTCCTATTATCAGAAAGGAATACTCATTTGGGCAGTCTTTAAATTGAGATCAAAATTGCTTCCTAGAACTTCTACCCATTGAAGAAAAGCTACTAGCAACTTTTAACTATTAGCAATCATGAGAACAGTGACTTCTAACTACTGCCCAGGGACCAGGGGGCCAGAATGGGTGGGGATCAGTGGTCCTTGACCCTGCTTCCCATGTTACCTATTTCCTTTTTCTGTCCTCCTACACAGTGGTCATTTATTGCAAAGCTCTGTCACCTGGGAATAGGGGATGTCCAATATTTTCCCCACAGAGGAACATTCTTTCCAGGTTTTAAAAGTGTTCAGTGGACCTGGGATTTATGGGGGATATGGAAGAAAATATTTTAAAAAATACATTCTGTGATTTATTGGCAACCTAATAGGTGCTTTGTGGGACTTTATTTTTCCTATTTAGTAATTTCAACACCCCATGGAAAGCAGGTGTTATTATTCCCATGTCCATGTAAGGAACCCAAGGCTCAAGGAAGAGGGGTTATTTGTACAGGGTCACCCCGCTGAATGAGCAAATCAGACAATGAGTTTCTACTGTGGGAGGCGGACACTCTAGATCTCTCTACAGTCTTACTACCTTCCATTGATTATATTCACTGAGGGAAAACCCATGTCCTGGAACAAACTCTTAGGACTCCTATCATTTGTGCCTCTGCTTGTAATGTTTTTGACAATGCAGTTTTCTGTTGGAAAACCATCTGTTTTAATCATAAAGATATTTATGCTCTTTCATATCTAGCAAACCAGGTTTCCCCAGTAAGCAAACTATTCCAGGCAGGACATTTTTGCCTCAATATCAGCTTGAAAAAGTGCCTCACTTCATCTGGGAAATGAGTTCTAAACTGTGAAAACTGATTGAGTGTTTAGTATTTCAAAATAAATAAAATATATTACACACAGATATTTAAAAATCCATGAATTATTTCTGCTTACTCTGAACTCATATTTCATTTAACATGCCACACAAAGTGTTCCATCAAGTAATTGTGCACTGCCAACCAAAGCATGCGAATGGGACAGCCCTCTCCTAATTAGATCTAGACCTTCTTTACGCAAGTAAGAGAGAGAAGGATTCTTTTGGGTGTTGGCGATGAGATCATCCTTTTCTGTGCACATTCTTAACCCAACTCACAACTCTTAGAATTTGCTGGTGACTCAGAGATTCTGTATCACATCCCTGCCTTTCTGTAGGTGCATGAAAGCTCAAAAACTGGACAGTTAAATCTGGATTCTGTTAAGCCCCATATCTGAGTGCTTGCTGCCATTGCATAGCCACACGGAGAGCTATAATTATGTATGTCCTTCAGAGTTTATGAAGCTTGATGAATTAATTGGATTTTATAAAGCTGTTTGAGCTATGAACATGAAAGGTGTTATGGATGTGTTAAATACTTTATTTCATATGCCCACCTTGCACCACGATCCAGACGAGTCTGGTTATTATGCAGCCTGAGCCCCGGGGCAAGCCAGTGGCAAGGACAGGAGACTACCGTTTCATCTGGAATCAGATTTCACAGAGCTGAGGTCAACCCTCAATGCATTATAGAATATAGTCCGTATTTCTTTTCTTTTAACGTGAAAATCTGGAATTTTTATGGTCCGTAGGAAATTCTTCCTCACTCTGACAATTCAAAAAACTGGTCAAAATCAGACTTCACTTTTATGATTCTATGTCATAGCTTATCTTTCAACTAAAAGATTGCCTTTGTTCAGTCTTTATTTCATTTCTCTTTCCTTAAAAACAAAGGTCTCTCAAGGTTCTTGATTACAGTTCATCTGAACAGACAAAAGCAGAAAGTGAGAGATTAGAACTTGCTACTTGCTGATGATTTATTTCCCATTGGTGTATATTTTTTGCTGTTTTTTTAAGGGATGATACATGTTTCATTCCTGGGCTTGATGACTGATAAACTTAAGGGATTCATGAATAATAAGAGTTTCTTTGGTTTCTTTTCTCTATCCCCAGTTCTTTCAGTTAGTTTGTAGTGCCGTATTGGGGATCACATAAAACCAAGGGGTAAGGGCTGTGACAGCATCAGTGCAACAGACACGGCCCTCGTGAAGGACAGCACAGCACACGTGCTAGGTGACTGCTTTTGCAGTGATGAGGACAGATGGGAAGTCAATGGTAAGCTGTGATGTGA